TGCTCGGTATTGGTTATTGCCGAGCAAAATCGACCAATACCTAGCAATACCGAGCAATCTTGGGTCCGTTCCGGATCGGGTTGTCGGGGCGCACTGTAAATAATGAAAATGCGTGGCGCGATTCTACTGGCGGCCGAACGTAGAGTTGCGTACGTTCACCGGACCAAATAAAAGTTCTCTCTACACAGGCTTACAAGCAAACTGATATGAACATCACAATTTTTGTATTGTTCATATGTAATTTATAGCATTCATTCGGGGTTTTGAATTGTGGTATGCAGTCAGATTGCTATGCTCTTTATTTTTGTTGATCATCTCTTGCAAGCAAGTCTTGCTTGAAGTTTTGGTCCACCACAAATCCCCTATGTGCAATTTTAAATTTTTTGTTATTTTGTAGATTGCAGGTTTCTTGTTTTAGTTATTAGGTTCGATTTCCTATTTATTAATTCAAGGTCCCCCATTTGCTAAAATTTTGACAGCATCCCGACGTTTCCTCTATTTAGGGGAAATTTTGGAAGTCTAAGCCTGCCCACCATGTCAAGAAAGACATGCATGATCAGTATCAGGTGACATCACAACCGTAGTCATCAATCTTACCACGTTAAGAAAGGCGCACATGAGTCTTTAGGGGTACCTGTGTGAAAATACATAGTTTTTTTCACAGACATAGAAGCTCATACATGGGTACTTAAATTTTATCCCATCACACTAAGAAAAACATACACAAAGCTCATCCACCTGCAGTAAGTGTCGCACTGGGTCCCTCCCACAAAGCTAATAAAATCATGCAAAGGTGGTCCCCCAGTATGCCACGAGTGTCTAAAGTGGTGTTTGGAATTCATTAAACCTCGAGAGGATCGACGATGCCGGTGTCGTTTGACGACGACGACGATGATTGTGCAAGAGGATCGAGACATAAAAATTTCTTTTCCTTCTCTTTTTTTTGAACTTTTCTTCATTCGTATTTTTTATAATAATAAAAATAATGTTAATACTGATACTAATAATAATAACAATTAATAGCAATGCTGATTTTAGGTTTTTTATTGGACGAGATTGTAAAATCCCATAAGACCCATTAACAGTATTGTAGGGTGCCACACAAATAAACATAATATTTTTTAGCATTTAGCATGTAATACTTTTCATCATTTGAATATTTATATAAAATATCCAACAATATTATATTTATTACATAAACAGAAGCATTTAATAACTTCAATTATATGAAACAAATACTTACAAAGCCACTAATACAATCCTAAAATATTTCATTACTGAACAGTCTACATACCTCAAATCTAGACTTATAATTTATAAATAGTGTTAAACAGAAGAACATGAAGTGAAATAAATGCAGGACATTATGTTCAATCAATTTTATGATAGCTGGCAGAAAATTTCAAACAGACTTGATAGTACTTTCATTGGTGGACTTTCAAATTATTTTGGGAATAAATTGGTTGGTCAAATATTTTGCCAGCATAGAATATTGGAAGAAAATGGTCAGATTTGATTTTCCTAGGGAAGAGGTATTTTATTTTCAGTGTGAAAAGGGCATAATTTCATCATTGATTGCTTCTAGTCAGGTGCATAAAAATATTAGAGAGGGTGAATTCATTTTCTTAGCAAAGTTAGAAGCAACTAAAGAGGAGTGATGATATAAATTTTATTTCTATAGTGAATGAATTATAGATGTTTTCTCAGATAAATAGAAGGATTTACCTCCAGAAAGAGAGGTTGAATTTTCAATAAATTTTCAACCTGTAACAAATTCAATAGTAAAAACACCTTACATAATGGCAACCAAGGAATTCGAAGAATTAAAAAGTCAACTGGAAGAATTAATTGAAAATGTTTTATCAGACCCAGTACATCTCCTAGATTGCACCTGTATTATTTGTCAAGAAGAAAGATGGTTTAATGCGACTCTGTATTGAGTACAGAGAATTAAATAAGGTGAATATTAAAAACAAGTATCCTCTTCCAAGAATAGATAATATATTGGATCAATTAGCAGCTCCTTCTATATTCTCCATAATCAATTTAAGATCAGGTTATCATCAAGTTATACTGAAAGAAGGTGATGTTGAGAAGACTGCTTTTGGTACCAAGTATGAGCACTATGAATTTGTGGTAATGCCATTTGGACTAACCAATGCCCCAACAGTGTTTATGTATATGATGAATATAATTTTTAGACATTTTCTTGATTAATTTGCAATTGTTTTTATTGACGACATTTTGATATATTCCAAGAATGATGAAGAGCATGCAGATATACATTTTGATATATTTTCTTGATTAATTTTTAGACATTTTCATTGATATACCTTCTCCATTGACAATGTGCCACAAGAATGAAATTTTCTTCAACCAAAATTCACATTTAGAATATTTAGCAAACAATTTTTGTTGCCTCAATAATTCCAGCATAATTTTCAAATGACCAAGATCAACTAATATGACAGAGGTCAGAAGTTTTTTGGGATTAACAGGATATTATAAAAGATTTGTAAAAGGCTTTTCTCAAATTATTTTGCCTTTATTTAAGTTAATGGACTGGGGATTGTAAGCAAAGTTTTTAAGAGTTAAAGCAGTGTTTAACTACTGCACCTGTATTAATAATTCCATCTAGAACTGAAGGATTTCAATTGTTCAGTGTTGCTTCTCTGAAAGGATTGGATTGTATGTTAATGCAAAATAAAAAGATGATTGCTTATGCTTCCAGACAGTTGAAGTTTCATAAAAAGAATTATTCAACTCATGATTTAGAATTGGTTGCAATGGTGGTGTTTGCATTATTAAAAATTTGGAGACATTACTTATATAGTGTGAGATATGAAATATTTGTAATTAACATATTAATTAAGGTAATAACTACTTCTAATTAACGTATTAATTAATATAATTGTTAGTTCTAATTTAACCATAATTTTTTTTTTTATATTTACCGAAATTTTTTAGTATTACAGAGATGGACAGTATGGAGGCAGTTAGGTGAAGTTGAATTAATTGGTTATTGTGATGAGCGGTTGAGAATTGTTTGGCTATGAGTGATTGTCGTTGCAGGTTGTGAGGAAGTAAGGAGGTGGAAGGCTTTAAGCAACTATAGGAAGTGAAGTTTGCGAGGACTATTAGAGTTGGGGAAAAAGTTTAATAAGTTTGTTACATTGGAGTTAAGAGATGAGGTAGTTGAGTGGGTTGTTTGTGTGAGAAGCTTGCAGCTATTTGAGGAGGTCAGATCGTTTCTGTGAAGGGTTGCAGGTAGACTGATTGTGTCGGACAAGGAAGGAGGTTCGGTGGAGTTTTGCTAGAGGAAGGCTCAGCTAGGTGAGGGGATTGTGCTACTGTAGTGGGCTCAGTTTTTGTGGAGGTCCTGGCTAAGTGTAAAGAGGGGGGTCGAGCCTTTTTTTTAGGATGCGCAAACTCAATATATAAAAAAGTAAATACAAAAAATTATATATATATATATATATATATATATATATATATATATCTATGCAGCCGATGCTTAATAATCTTCATTGCAAAAAATATTCTCTACACTATCGCAGTAGCGACTGGTAAAGTCAGTGCCAACACAATAAGTCGGGTTGCTATTGATTCGGCTAGGGCTATGGAGTCGGTGATGGCAGAGATAAAGGGAGGAAGAGTGGTTGGTTTGAGGAAGGAAAAAGTAGTCTAAGCTCTGGCGGTGGCGGATCGGCGTGATCTTACTCGGCAAGGAGATTCAAGGTTTGTTGAAGGTTTTTGCATGGAGTTAGATGAGGGACAAAGTGGCTGACGTGCAAGAGGGAAGAAGGAAGACGATCTTGGGAAGTTTGCGAAGTTGAGGTCGTAGCAGGCAAGGGATTTTGGAGCTTGCGAGAGTTTTGCGCGTGAAAGAGGCTTAATTGTTGACATTTAACGACATAATCGCGCGCGGGAGATGGGATCGAGACACGCAACCAAACTGTGAACGACGTCGTTGCAAGGAATGATTACTGTAGCTAAGGCGTGGTTCGGTAGAGATACATAATGGGTTGCTTGATAGAGATATTTTTTTATACATTTTTTGTTTGCTTATATGTTGAAAAACATAAATTCTATTGACTCAAATTTTCTAGTACACAATAGTTATGTGTCGTCTGTGGGAAACATTCCCAACATAGATCTTCTATGGCCAACAATCAATCCCCCAACCAAGAACAATAAAATATTGGTGATCAAGTCTCCCAAGGCCTCACTTTTGAAGATCATATGCGTAGGATGGAGGAATTTCAAAGTTAAATGCTTCAATTATTGAAGAAGGCTGAACAATGGAGGGTACCATCACAATATGGAGTTCTCTTTTCACAATTCCAGCAATAGTTTAGAGACAACATCAATCAAAGAGCACCACCATCCCCACAAGTTTATCAAAATCTCTTCAATACAATTGGTTCAACACACCCTTTCTATATTGCTCGGCCAACCCATAATCCTCCACCTATTGTAGAGGATTTAAATTAACATCATCTTATTGATACCCTCATGATGGTATAAGAGATGCTACAAAGTCTTATTCAGAAGGAATTCACTTTGAGGGAATGGAATCAATTTACTTATATGCGTAGCTTCCAAGAGCTTAACAAATGAAATTCTCCAACATTCCATTTTAGTGGGATTCAAGCTACTTACTATTGATTCATATGATGGATCTTCTAATTTCTATGAACATATTGATAATTTTAAAATCATCATGTATATCCTACAAGCTTCTGATGCACTTTTTTGCAAATTCAGGATTTTAATTTCACACTCAAAATGAGTAAAAAAAAATCATTACTTTCTTAAAATTGTTTTCCACCTACAACCAACCAAATGATCTCTATTTTGTGTTGTATATAAGTTTTCTATGCATAACTATCCGTCAAAGATGATCATTTATCCTAGATTGACCTGATGAAATGTGAATAATGGTGTGACCCAAGGTTAATTTCAAATGCACGGTTCAAGTCTTTTATAATATTTTGTAGATTATGCCTGCATGGTTAAACTGCTTGCCAGTAAAAGGGGATCTGATCGAGGCCAAAATTGTACACGAGCAACTTTGCTCAATGGTAGAAAGGTAAACAACGGTCATTTATCTTGTTGATTTCATTTCAATTTGTCACTTGAAATATCTTATTTTTCTGTTTTACCTTTTCTGAAAATGTGTGTGGGCGTATTGAAACTTTTTTTTTTTAATCACGTGGAGGTCTGATAAGGAGCTTCTGGGTCCCAATAATCAATATCTTCCCAAGATTATTTCAGTTTTTGCTGAGGTATTGTCGTTATTCAGCCTCTTTTTTTTGTTTTAATTATCGATAACATATTTTCATTTTCTGTACTGCGGTTTGCTTATTGATGTCATTTTTTTTGTTCATATTTGAACTATCTACAAATTATATCAAGCCCAAAAATCATATATCCATTGCATTACTAGAAAGAAAAATTATCACATAAATTTCAATGATCTTGTGGATTTCTCGCACTTGCTCTTATACTAAGAACTAATAGATTCAACATTAAATAGAGTAGACATGATGACTGGAGCAAGCAATGTCTTATAAGTTAGATTGTTACTTTAGACATTAGTGAGAAATAGCATTTAAGAAAGGCTATTTATGGAGGCAGGTAAAGTAGAGAATGGAGAATCTTGATTTATAGGGGCATTGGGTCCAATGAACTATAAAACAAACATAGACATCGGCTATACAATAAGAATCTTTAGTTAATCTAAAATTGGTCCTTTTAGTAGGTTTTTTTCTTGGGTCCATGAGGTCCTTTTAGATGAAACAACTCATAACTATATATAAGGATCTTCCAAAAAAATGAAAAAAATGAGATCTTGATCATATTAATCACCATCTCGCCCCATCTCCAGCCAAAGTGCATCAACCAAATGATCAAATCACAAGGCATGTTGACATTAGTGGAAAAGCCATTGCAATGTAGAAATTCAATTAAGAGCCTCATAGTTATATCCCTAGCCAAAGGAGTTAGTAATCAGAGGGGGTTTGCACTCCTTTGAAACTTCTAAACGATGGTTATAAAATATCTTTAAAAAGCTATTGTGAGTCGTAACTTTATCATTAACATTCATCTCAAAAGAATCCATTTCATCTCATTGAAAGTTAGTATTACTTTGATTATTCATATACCTTTTCCATAATATATATTTGCGAAGTTATCTCATGTTGAGTTTTTATTGTCTTATCTTTATAGCATTTAATTCTAAAATTCTATCAGGATGCCCCTGCCATTCTTTTGCTCCAGTTGCATATTCTTCTTTGGATTAGCTTTGAGATAAGTTAACTGCATTGAGATATGTGATAAATCAATCAAAATTTGTATTTCACTCATTACTAAGCTGATTCAAAGGTAGGAAAGCCCATCCGAGCAAAAAATGATCAAGGCATCGTAAGAGAATTTCCTTCCTATGTATAACTAATTGTTTATGTTGTTTGGTTAAGATTTCTTCTAAAATTAACTGTCTTACCAATATTTTTTTGTAATCTATAAAGCAATGGCTGAAGTTGTCTTAGATGGCTCCAAAAATTTTGGAAATGATTTTAGTTCCCTTACACCTCCATGAGATTCTAGTCCGATAAGATCATATTAACCGACAATGGCTTTATACGATGTTTGTGTTCATTGTCATCATCGGATCCATTGTTGAAGACCCAACAACCCACCCAAGAACAGGTGAAATTATTTTGTGCGGACACGGACTCCATCCGGACGCTTATCAGAACGCGCCATATCACACATTTGCTGTGTATCGCGGCTGTGTGCCCCTGTGTACCTGATGACACGGCGCGTTGAGTCAGCTAGCTGATATGACTGTCTTTGAATTAAAAAAAATCTTCTATTAGTTTTTTTTTTTAGGAAAAAAAAATTAGTGGAGGTTATCCTTGTCAAATTTTTGATTAGGATGAATTCCATGTCCATTGAATTTGTCTTTATATAAATGAAATATAAATTTTAATTTATTATTCATATATATTATATTTATCTCAAAATATATCAAATAATTTAGAAATTTATCCAGATCGATATTTTTGCCATGATATCTCAAAAAAAATTTTCTGTGGTATGCTTCTTCTTAGCTAACCTATTGGGACTCAGGTTTTGTGTGCGGGCAAAGGTCTTGCAACGGAGCAGACTGTAAGCAGAATGATTAGACTTCTGAAGCAGCTGCAGCAGACGATGCCGCCACCTTTTCTTGCATCGCTCCTTTCTTCGTTGCCACCGCACCAACAGCTTGCACTACAATCAGCGATGTCGTCATAATTTGTGGATATTTCTTCTGCAGCATCAAGTAAATTTATTTATATTACAGGTCATTTTGCTTCCCATTCTTTATATTTCAATTAATAAATTGTTAATCGAAATGAAATTATTTTTGTAATTTTCTTGAAAAGTTGTGCTGCCATGCTACAGTTTTTGGTTTTTTTTGCAATTTCCCCAAACCAAATAAAGTTTTTAATATGGACTCGAAAGAAAAACAAAATGGTTTTTGTGATCAGAAAGAATCCCAAATTAATTTTCTCAGCGTAAGAATTATTGTTACACGGTATTCAGTAAGGCTAAACTGCCGCTTGCCGTTCATTACGTTTTAGTGAGAAAACATCACTATTTAGCAAAGCATTCACATTCTCTTTTTTATTATAGAAAATGTTATGCAAGAAAAAAAATAATTGGGAGATGAGTAAAAAGATATTAATTTCAATAAAAAATATAATATTATTTAAATTTTATTGTAAAAATTTTTAGACAATTGACCTTAACATAATTAAACACAATGTAGAGGTATTATTATTAGAGAATGGTAAATCAAATACAAAGAAAAATAGTAAATATAATTCATCATTTATTTATTAAATTGAATTGTAAAAATATCTTTACAGTTAAAATTTGTTTTGAAAGCATTGCTTTATTAGACCTCTGACATATCTGTGTAGTGTACGACAATCAAGAATATGAATAAATATAAAATTTTCTTTTTATTTAGAAACCTTAATTATGTTTGATAGCTAAAAAAAAAATTTTAGCAATCTTTTTTTTTAACACTAGATCCATTTTCTTGTAGTAAAAGGATGAGTCAAATTCAAGGCAACACAATAATTACTAATAAGTATTTATACACCTTAACTCCCGCAAGAAAAGTTTTTACATGCACCAAAAACTAAAAAAGTATTATCTATTACTCAGTGTCCCAAAAACACCTATCATAACTACAATATCCCTAACATCATCAACCATTTCACAATAATATTACGCTCAGGAGTTAAACTGAGAATGAAATCACAAAAAAAAAAATTACAATATCGAATAATGAACCTGTTAAACATAATATTTGCAAAATCCAACCAAGAACCACAATAAAAAAACAAGATGAAGAAGAGAAAAAAAAAAGGATAATTTTAGATGACATTTAATGAAAGCAAAACCCAAAATTTCGCCACAATTTTATAACAAAACCTATTCCAAGTTTGCACAAAATTGAGAACAAATTGTCAAATGGAACTAACAGCAAAATTGAGAACAAATTGTCAAAGAAAACTAACAGGCAGGAAATCAAGGGGAAAGTTAATAGTCTCTTCACAGAAAATAATTTATCAATGAGAACACAACTAACAATATCAAGCATTAGTGATGGCTTGAGACTTGTTGAGAATGACACCCTCATATTTTACTTGAAACCATTTCATAGCATCATCTTTTGTAACTCGGTGCTGAACGCCGACACGGGACTTGCAGCGACGTCGACGGCTCACCCGATAACCAGGCCGCTCCAGCACCACATAGAAGTCCATTCCATATATGCCAGTTGATGGATCATACCTGGCCAAACAGTTAAAAAAAAGCAAATTAACAATATGATGAGGATATTCTCATCAAGCAATTGTTTAATTTTGATGGAAAACATGCAAAATTGATTAATTTTTTATGTAAAGTGTTTTGACATTATATCGTTCACAAGTCTTGATTCTGTTATACAAAAGAATGAAGATAAAGATGAGAATATATCTTATAGGATACCAAGTGGGAGGATAAAAATGACAACTTACCTCAAAAGTTATAATGTCATGGGACAATTATGATGAAATGTAGAGAACAGTTTATAAAACTGTAGCTAAATAAAATGTGCTATATAAATCTGATTATTTTGTGATGAACATATCATTGATAGTCATGTATAAAATGGTTGAATGCCAAGATTGATATGGCCAATGACTCAGGGCCGACCCGACATGACCTGAATTACTCAGGGCCGACCAAAAATTGCTAGTTTTTTGGTAAAAAAACGGGTCAATATTCTATTTTTGGGTCAAAATGGGTCAACCTTGGGTTTCCGGGTCAATCTTGGGTTTTTGGGTCAACCCGACCCGATTTTTAAAATAGGTCGATTTGTTGAACCCGAATCTTACCCGTTTTGGGTCCGAATTGACCCTAACCCTAAATTTTGGGGTCGGGTTTTCAGGTTGTGGCAAATATTGGCACCCCTATATATAAGTCATTATTCTCTACTCACTGTTGTTGAGCATTATATAAGGAATGAAATATATTCTAAGCAAGCAGCCAAGCACATATCTCTTCAAACAACTTTCATCCATGTTTCCATCTACACCTTTTTGATTATAAACCTTCAACGCTATTGTGTCTATCAACTAGTTTAGTGGATGCATTTTCCATGTTTTTTTCTCTTTTATTTAAAAAAGGTCTAGAAAAAGTACCCATTAGACTAATTTATATATAAAACAAGCAAAAAACGTCTAAGATGGAAAAAAGTAAAACTAATATATGCTACTTAATAGTTCCTCAAATATTATTATTGATTCTTTTATATTTATAATTTTGCCAGCCAATTTAATAGGATCATTCTTCAATTTATCGTTCCTAATTTTGCCACTCACATGCATTGTCATTTTTGTTACGTTCGAATAAACTATCAATTTTTTTTTAACTATTGAAGTCTCAAATTTGTACAAAATAGTTTAGTCTAATTGAAATTCCATTAAATTTATATTTGAGTCTTCAGGATATTCTTTCATCTCATAATCACTAGGCATTTCTCTATTTTTATCACATAATCATCACAATAGAAATTATATCCTATCTATATCCTCATTGTTCTAAATAGTAGATTTAAGATACAAAAACCTATCAAATTTAAGTATCATTTCATCATCTAATATTATTAAATGATAATTATTAAAATCACATCCATTAAAATTTTGCATCATATATCCAATCTTTGCTCTACTAACAATTCAATTATTGTTGCTAATGTTTCTCCAAAAAGCACAATCCTTACAAAAAGCATGCACTAAGGCACCTCACATTGAATATCATTTATAAGAAATTTATATTCATATCAAATACAAAAAATATAATAGCTGATATATGATCCTTGCCTCAATCCTACTATAATTAAAAACTATGTGTTTAATCAAAAACTCCTAATATTAGTTAATCCTCTATCATATATAACTTCAATAACTTAAACATATCCTTTGCATATTTTTTCATTAATACACACCATATTAATTTTCACAACATTAGATCATTTGTCTTCTTAGTATCAACAAAAGTCATATAAAAAATATTTATCTGCTCCATATACTTTCAATTTCTTTCCCTAACAACAAAATCAATTCCATATTTGATCTTTCTAGCATGGAAATATGAAATCAAATTGATTCTATGACGACATCATTTATTGAGTTTATGTTCCATAACTCTATCCCATAACTTTATTATAAAAACATACAAGTTTAATTCCCTATTAAAAACACTATCTCGTTTATTCTTAAATACTAGACTTACAATGATTCTTATCCAATTATTCTTCACACCCACTTAATCTTCAAAATTTTCTTAAAAAAGTTTGTCAACCAAACCACGGATACATTCATAATACTCCAAATCTCACTAAGCAAATCATTAAAACCTAAGGCTTTACCTTTCAACATGTATTTCAAAGCTAACTCCCCTTCACTTCTTTTAATCAATCTATAAAATATATTTTAATATAGTTCCTTTTGTATGACAATCCTTATTAACATTGAGTAACCGATATTCTTTCTTAGTCCTTTAACACTAATTTTATAATGTCTGTCCTAGCAATGCCTTCTCTGCATTTCATTGAATATGTTCAACCCACCTAAATATATTTTCATCTTATATCTTCAATAGATATTACTTGCACAATCCTATTATAATTATTCTTTAAAAAATACTGCATAATAAAAAAATCCAACAAATAGGATAAAATTATGGCCCCAAGTTGGTAATCTACTCAATAAAGAGTCCTAAATCAAAACAAAAAGTGATACTCATGGCCTATAGTATTACCAATAACATAAGTTTACAAAATCATTAAGCCAGAAATGTGGACATCCAGATAAATAATAACATCAACGAAAGCAACATAAGGCAACCATAGAAAAACAGGCAGGAAAACTTCAAATTAAAAAACTATGGCAAGCAAGCAAAAAACTCTGTACCAGGACATGATAAAAAATATTTTGCAATTTATTTTCAAACTAAAAGAGGAAAACAATAATGAAAAAGGTGGTTTAGAAACATGAGATAACTCTCCATTCTGCAAATAAAAGAAATTCATAAATCCCAACATTGAAATTCCAGCAATGATTCAGTTCAAAACATAAGAAAACTAAAAGATCAATCACTCACTAACAGTTACCGCACCAAAAATAAATAGTAACTTACAATTCAGGTAAAATGGACGATGTTGAAAAACAAACTAAAGGCTCATAAACATCTAGAAATTATTTGGAATGAAAAGAATAGATTAACATACTTAATTCCAAGATCAATGTGTTCCTGAATGCCAAATCCAAAGCATCCAGTGTCACTGAAGTTCCTCCTCAAAAGCTCATACTCCTTAACCTTCAGACCACTCTCAAGGAGTTGCATTGCCTTTTCACCTCTAACAGTGACATAGCAAGCAATCTTTTCATTGCGACGGATTCCAAATGATCGAACAGTGTACCTTGCTAAGAAAGCACAAAAGAAACAAATTGATGCACAGCATCAAAATACTTGAAAGTGGAATAGAATGGTCTCTCTAACATACCTTTAGAGAACACAGGGGTTTGTCCGCTCAATTGCTCAAGCACCTGAAAAAATGACATCACGGCCATGTAAATATGAAAAATGCAGCACCAAAGAAAGAGCAAATGTTGCATTGAAAAAAGGGAAAACATGATTTAGCACTCAGTGAAAAGAAGGGCCATGGAACATCACTAATTATGATAAAAAGGCATCACACGTGTAGATCACAAGACAAGAACATTTTACATGAAATAGCAAATACTATCATGCTCCCGATCATATGCCATTCAAAATCTATAAAAACCAAACAAAGATCCTTTCTCTTTTTTCTTTACTTCTGTTATTGTCTTACCACAAAAATCATGTCCATGCCACCAACCACTTGGTTGATTTAATCTCTAAAGTGCAGATCATGGTCCTTTAACTCTTTGGAAGAGATCAAAATGGTTCTCAACCATTTTGAGGGACCAATTTGGTCCCTAAACTCTTTAAAATGGAACCATTTTGGTCATGCCATTAAAAAATAAGGAAAATTTCGGATGGCAGTGAGGGTATGATTAGAATAACCACAAAATTGATAAAAATAATAAGAAGAAAAAAGGGAGAATGATAGTTACATTCACAGCGAGCGAGATCCAGTCGGTACATCCGATCCAATAAGATGAGCATCAAACTTTTGTGACTTCCGATTTGACAGGAATGAGCGTTGTCGAAGGAGGCGTTAGCGACTCGATTAAAACCCTCTAGTCTCCACGTCGGCAAACTTTCATGAATTCCGATTTGACAGGAAGGAACGTCGTTGAAGGAGGTGAATAAAGACTTTAGTGACTCGTTCAAAACCCTACCACGTCCAATAGCAACGACGAATGCGGAAGAGAAAAAAGAGTAGCAAATCATTTAGGAATTAATTTATATAATTTAATTAATATGAATTAAAAAAATTAAAAAAATTAATTAGATAATTAATAATGTAAATAATAATTAGATAATTAATAATCAAAATAATAATAGTTATATAATTATTTAAGTTATTAATATTTATAATAGTCATTAGATAATTAAGCTAGTTAGTATCCCTAAGAGATTATTAGTTAAGTTAAATAATTAATATATGACTAAAATTTTAAATTATAACTAAACATATTATTAATTTCTCTTATTAAACAGACGATCAATATTTTTTTTTTAAATATAACTACTCAAAAAATATATCTGATAAATTGTTAATTAAAAATTATTAAAAATACCCCTATTTTTTAACACCATTAAGTCCAACATATATTAATTTGGATGTTATGACTAAAATGGCCCCATTTTAAAGAGTTACGGAACCAAATTGGTCCCTCAAAATAGTTGGGGATCATTTTGGTCCCTCCTAAAGAGTTAAGTGACCATTTTGGTCCTTTTCTCCATGCAAAAAGAACCTCCAAAAATCTTTCTAAAATGATATGAAACTGATTCTCTCAAACTCATCTATTACTATATATCCAAGGGAGGAATGAGTGGAAATAAAAGGCCAAATCATTTGACCATAGCATGGCTACTTCCAAAAATGAGAAAAATCATGATGGATCCTACTGCATACCAAAATTTTACCCACTCAATTTCCTGTGAGCACTACGCTCAAGAAATTTCCTTCGGCCAATTCATCAATTGTTTCTAATTGTGCTTATAAAACCTTTTGTTCCCACTAACCAAGGGAATATATGAGGGTACCCCCATGTTCCTCTCCTAAGGTTGGGCTTTTGGCAACTTTTGTGAGAGCCTATAACCATCTTTCCCCCATTAAAACTCAAAAAACAACATCCAATGAGCACCCAAGTCGTAGAGTTCTCCACTCAACGCCCCTCACTCTACTCATCATCCAACAATAGGAGGATCAAACAAGCATTTACAATGCCACTAGATCTTCATATAGATAAATGTTGGACCCTCCATAACGAAAGATCTTGCCATTTAGATTAAGAGGTTAGTGAACACCTGATCTTCCATCACCTTATCTTGAGATGACCCGCTTTTATCTCATCCCAAGAATATTTGACATTGCCATCATTCTCATCAACTCAAACTACCAATCAGCTCAACTTCTCACGAATGAACTTCTCATCGGCTCCAACATCCATCAATTCTCAATTAACAACTATAAGTCTCTAGATGGAGACCACGCTCATCGATGGCCTGACACCACTCAAGTCACCAAGATGTAACACCACAGCTCTTGATCTAATGTTGCTTTATGCAAAACCTCGAGCAAACCAAATTAGCACACATTTCCTAAGCATCATTTGGGTGGTGCCATAGGATCGTCACTTAATGGAGCCCACCCACCTAAGAAATGACTGTTGTTAGTCCTTCTCAATGTTTCATTTTAGTGTAGATTTGAATGTCACACCTTGTAAACTAACTAGATGCTGTTTACCAGAGTTAACTGAATTTAACACCCATCATGCCCCAAACAACTTCCAGGATTGAAACACACAGGATTTATTAAATCCAGCTTTACAGGATTTACTAAATTCTAAATCCAGCTAAACAGCCCCTGAACTTGCCTCTCAATTTCATACCAATAAATAAAATCATCAAAACAATTACAACTGGAAGCGATTACGTTATTTTACCACTGATAGCATAACAACAGCCCTATAAAAGTGCATATATAAATACTGTAAGCAAAAAAAAACTCCTCGAAGAAATTCAAGAAAATCCAAGAAAGAATTATACATATTCGGGGCAGCGAATCCTAATCCGATACCTTCGAAGCTCTCGTAAGACGATCTCCACTCTCCCCCACCGAGATGTTCAGCACCAGCTTCTGCACTTTGATCTCCCGCATCGGGTTGGAAAGCTTTTTCTCCGATGCCTGGTAAATCAGCACAAAAAACAAAAAATCCAAATGATTCACTGTAAGACAGCAGAGGAGGAAAATTAAGAGGAAAAGAGACGAATGGAAACAATAATCACCATTGCTGCGTTTCGAGGGGCTCTGGAACGAGCTAAGCAGCCGATTGAAGTTGCAGGAGGAAATAAACGAAACCCTAATCAAACATATAGCGGTGGCCTTCAAAACTCTCTGCGTATTAACCGTTGGATTAAAATTATACGGTTAGAGGGTACTGAGATTTTGTTTTCCCACGTTAAATGGGCTATTGGGCTTTACCGGGCTTGTTGTGACCTAAAAATTTCAAGAACAAACAATTTATTGTATTTATCAGTTATAATTATTCAATTTGTGTACTTGAAATTAAATTTTTATATTTACTAAAATATTAATCTCAAAATTTTGAAACCCTAGACTTAGAAAAGAGGCAAGCAAGTTGCTATAAGATCAAAATGATATGTGATTGATCCTCAATTATGAAGAGTTGAGGAAGTCACGATGAGATCTTATTAGAAATGTTCAATAGCTACATCAAGAAATATCTTAGCTGTATATTTTTTTAGAAAAGCATACTAAAAGTTTATCCATTAACTATAATATTTTTTATATTTAAATTAATTAAAACTTTTTTTGTCCAAACATTAACATAATATTAGAGTTACATTAACTTTTATTGTACTACTATAAATGTACGTGCATATGGTGCACATGAATAAAATTTTAAAAATAAAAAATGTTTTATGATATATATATATATATAGCAATCAAAGATTATCTAGAGTAAATGTTGGAGACGTATCAATTTTTTCTGCAAAGTATGTATTCTGTTTTCTCCTTAAAATAGATGATTGAACGTACCTATGAGAATGATCTGAATGAGAAAATACCATAAGGAGGAAGAGGTCTTATACTAAGAACCATTGCACTAACTGTAATATTAATTCCACCATAACATATAATGAAAATGAGTAATTAATTGTAACCTTTTTAACAAGTTGATAAAATATACTTAACTGACCATGACGTAGACCAGTCATGTCATCAGCATGTTGATTGAACAAATAACCAGATTCAGAATTTTCACATAAAAAAAAAAGGCTCGTTGTGGCATAAGTTCAATTTCTTTATCAAATGATATGACTTGTTGAGCAAGATGCCCATTGCTGGAGCTAATTTCAGCATAATGCCTCTCACAAGTACAATGCATTTTCTTCTTATCACAATTGCAATCAATATTGCATTTAACTGGCTCATATGTGCTTGAATGCTCTGGCCTAAATCTTCGATACTACTAAATCAAATGGTAATTACTGTTGTTGTATATTTCATTTCACTTTCTCCCTACCATTGGAAGTAGGGAAGAAGATATACATTTAATATTCTCATTTGAATAAAAAAATCAATATTTCTAAGACTTAAATTATGATTCTTTATCTACATGACATGCTTATATATTTATAAAAAATTATCCATTTCAATAAATATTATAGAATATGTAGAATGAATATCGACCAAAACTTATTAAAGTTTATAAAATTCTGTTTTTCTTCAAATGTACTTATTAAAGTTAGATGAAATGTGCATTTCATCAAATTCCTCGAGCCTTATAATGATAACAAGCAATGCACCCACAAAATTATCAAAGAAACGTTTATGATAAAAACAATTAAAAAGGCTTAGCTTCACAACAACGACATAAAAAAAACTGTACAATGAGTTGGAGTATTTCATAACTAATAAGACACATATGAACCATTTTAAATAAACCATTTAAAACTTATAAAAAGTTCAGCATAAATTGTTTAAATTCACGCACACGATGGGAGATCTGAAAAGATAGAAAATATAGAATAAGTTAATTAAAACTTGCTTTGCATAAGCTAAACAAGTGTCCAAAGCTTCTATATCTCGAATATCAAACTGTAGAAATAAAACAAAATTTACCACGAAATTCATATTGAAGTATAAATTCATATTCTAGTATAAATGCACAGGCACCATTTCTTGTCATGTGCTTGTAGTATTCTTTCAAGAATCTACAATAAAATATATTTTTAGATGTCCAATGCAAAAATATAATACAAATGATTTTTAATGCAATAATATAGTTGTTGGAGTTGACTGGAGTTTTTTTATGCAAGATTAAAAAAGGGCTGAAGTAACACTAAACATACATAATTTAAAGAAAAATGAAAGTAATGTTATAACTTCTAACAAATATTTGACCGCAAACAAAGCAAACAAATCAATCAATGGGAAAAGAGCATGCATTAACTTGAATTGCTTTCTATGGCAAATTCTTAATTGTTGCCTCAAGAATCTTGCCGCTGCAAAAAAATTTATCAATCCAACAATTAACTAAAAAATCATGATCAGTATATAGCTGTATAAAATTACAAAATCATACTTATATAGCCTCTAATAAACCTTATGTCAAATCTGCTATGTCATTTATTTTGGACAACATAGAAGTGCAAATCTCATCATGGGGTGGCATATATAACAGCAAAAAAAAAACAATAAAAAACAAAGACCAGTTCATTTTGCTCAAAATGTAATTATAAATAGAATATTATAGAATTATATTAATATGTTAAAGCAAAATGATAAAAGAGAATTAAAAATCACAATTTCACATAATCAAATGTGTTTGAAGAATTCGTCCAATTTTAAGGCTTACGTGGGTGTTATTATGAGCACAATTATGTTATAATTAACAATATTTATAAGACTTAAAATAAATGTTAAATCATTTATTTTAATCATAGTTACATACTTACATGACAACCCTTAAGTCCATTCTTCTCAAGCAGCCTCTTTAATGAGATTAATGTTATGTTAACAAATAATGAAATAATATGCTCTTAAATTTTATAAATAAGTAAAAAATAATATAACTAAAGCAGTTATTTAAGGTTCATCAATGACCCACTGATGTTTAGCTTGGTTGGTGGGCGAGTGCGACTAGGAACCACCCATCCCGCGTTCGATTCCCCTCGGGCTACAGCTCCCCTTCGGTGGGGTTCGAACAAGCGTTGGCCATGAGGATACGGAGTGGGTTAATCGTCTAGGCTGATCGGGGTTTACGGATCGCCACGCGCCTGGGCAAAGCTCGGGTGGCAGCGGACGATTCCTCGTCACCAAAAAAATAAGTTTCATCAATGAACTGGATCACATTTTAGCTTGAATTTCATATCTTTGAAGATGTACCTGAGATCCCCTTTGGATTTGACAATCTTAGATAACCCATCACTTAACCCTCTTGCAAAGCCTTGTTGAGTTTGAATGCGAACCTTCACAGCCTGTATCAGACAAATAGCAATATCAACAATAAATTAAGCAAAAGCAAACAAGATAAATCGAAGTCTTATACTTCACAACATACTCAGGTCCAACAATATTAGAGTAGTATTTCTTAAAGAACTCATAAAAATCATACTTAAATGCATGTTTACCATTATAACCAAGCAGAGTCGGTGCCCAACCCTTGAAGAAACCTTTCACACCCTGCTCTTTAAGAAGGACACCAAAACATAATGATTTATATGATGCCATCATTTAATTTCTTTAGAATGCCTTTTTATCTAAAGGAAACATTGATAAAAATATTTTCCATATATAGAAAAAATATCTTGGTTGATCTTCTTTAATATTAATTTGCAAGCACAAGCATGCTTTGATCAAACATCTCACAATGAGTAGACAAGAAGTATGATCATTTAAGCAATGCAACATACAAATCAAGTTACCACTTAGAAGCACTTGAAAATAACTCTCAAATCAAGAGGCACTTGTCCATCAAAAAAACTGCCCATAAGAATTAATGCTCGAAGCGAGAGCACAAGAGAGAATTAGATCACATCTTTAAATTCCATCAAAATGTTCTTGAATCACATATGAGTGAGAATATACTATTTGGCTAATATACATAATCATTTATCTAAACCAAAACCGCTAAGAAAATATATATGAACTAATCAAGGCCAGATAATGAAATCAATAATAACTTGAGAAAATAAAAAAGGAACAATCATATCTAAATAGAAAATATAAAGGTGGCAATAGTGGAGCAACCATAACTTATTTAGGATGAATGAATATATCATAGTAGAAATGCACAACTATAAAATGAGAGTTAACAATTCACATAAGAATAAATAAATTTATTGTAGCTCCTCTCAGTTTAACGATGAGAAAAAACAAAGTAATTTAGTTGGTGTAAAAAATGAATACATATAAGAGAATCATTAATCATAAGTGATAACATGCAAAAGCAACCAAATGTATACACTAACAAACAAAATATAAAAATTTCTAGATTCATGACATTTGACAGGGTCATCAAATGGGATTTGTTCGTCTCAACATAAAACAAAAATAAAGATAAATGATATATTTCCAATATTTTTACAATTATACATGTGCAACAATCTTATAAAAGAATGATTATAATTTTAAAGTCAGTAATATCTAACACAATACATAGTATATAACACCCAAAATTGATAAGTGCAGTTCTTGAATCACAAGACTTCAAAACAAATTCATTAGTCGCCAAATAACTATTTTCATTAGCAAAACAATTTAAAAGAAATATAAATCATTTTGTTAAGTACTAAATTTTAAAAAATCATTTTTTAAAATTTACTTTGTTAAGTACTAAATCTTACAATAACGTGCACGTGAACAAAATTTTTAAAAAATAAAAATATATAATAAATGAGAAATGTCCAGAAGATAGATAAAAATAATGCAATCTCATAATAAAGTTAAAACAAATTAAAGTTATTTTAATAAAGAAATTAATTTTTGTAGGCATTTTCAATGAATAAAAAAATGACATATACTGGACTAAATAGTAGTTTTCTTGTGAAATCCAATAGGTCAAAGATGATAAAAATAGATATCTTAAAAACACAATAAAAAGGCAAGTATGAAATCCAACAAATTAAGTTCCATCCTAGAATTGAAAGATGAAATATAGAAATATTCCATGGGAGAAAAATGAGTTGAAGAATTCAAAACTCAATTATGTGAAAATTTTAACGCATGCAATTCAAACTTAAATCCATATGGATTCAAACCTGGAGACAGATCTGCGAAACGTTATTCTCTTTCTCATCGCACCAGCTCTGTATGCATCTTTTGTGAGCAAACCGAAACAGAAGAAAATCAATGAAGGAAAAGTTCAAAACATACTAATGCTTTCATTCCCCTTCCCAGTGAGCAAAAATGGAAATTCTTTATTTTTTTTATTTAAATATTTTAAAATCAGGTAAGTAAAACAAGAAAATGCGAACATATAAATGATATAGAAATTACTAAATTGCATAACATAGAAAACTTTCAAGCAGAAATTTAGGTCTTAAAAGGGAAGAAAAAACTTTAATTTTTTTAGAGAAGGAATCACGGAGAAAGGAGGCTTCATTGAGCGGCCGAGGCAAGTAAAAAAAACTAGGAATAAGGTTAAGAGAAGCTCACCTTGGGATGTTTGCTATCCGGCGAGCAAAACATTCGCGTGTATAGACATTTCCTAGCGAGCAAATGAAATTTTATACAAAGGGAATGCGCCATTTCGTGTAGGGATGAGTTGATACTGAGAAGAAATAAGGAATGCGTCATTTCGCGAGCAGATGAAGACTCATCGTTAAGAAGAATAAGGTATAGGAATATTAACGATGGATATTAAGTTAAGGTTTTTTAACCAACTATCAGGATGATGTATTGGGAGAATCACAAGCGACATTTTAATAGTAGTATAGATAATAGATATTGGAGCAATATTTAATATTTGTTATATGATGAATAGTGCATAGGATTATATTAACCATGTCTTGTGATACTTTATATAGATGTTCTTAATGAAAGAATAAGTATAAATTTAGGTTTTAAACCTTAGAGTCAAAATCTCATTTTTCATTCATAGATTATCATTGAAGAGTATGAGAGTCTATCAATACTAAAATAGTGATAACATATGAAGTTTTAGAAAAGCATCAATGATCAGAGGCATGAATGGGTTTATGTATTTATTTTAATAAAATTTTTAATTTAAATTTAAGAAAAAAAAAACTTATAGTTCAATGTGAGTTCATATTAACATTAAGATGCATAATATTAATGGGGAATCCTCTATGTCATGGCGCTAAAATTATAGTTTGTCTTCATATAAAGGATTAAAATATTAGTGAATGATGGGTTAATCGAAACTCTAGATTTGACTACTTTTCATTAAGTGGGAGGATACTAAAAAGTTCAAGAAATGTCCTAATAACAATTCAAACCTCTTAGAAACCCTACATACAAATATATACTTTCCATTCTCTGATGCATGTTGACAGAAATATCTACTTTTATTTATACATATTGACTCACAATGCTAGTATATATATTTGCTCCATAATAAAAAAAAGTATTGAATGCATGTGTATTCAAGGACATTAAAGTTGAAGTAAATAATAAATGTGGGAACTACATAAGCATAGTAGGAGCAGACATAAGTGGATAACATTGCAATAGATATGTTGCAATGGACAAATACCAAGTCCCTTTGTAAAGTTTCTCCAAGAATATGAAATTGTTATCTAATACAATATGTCTAGTTGTTTGGGCCATATATTGTTATGAAGAGAAGAAACCAAATATTGTTGGATATGATGCTTAGTATGCTTATCTTACCAATAACAATTGTTGTGTATTTTATTGGATAAGTCAAGAGCTTCAAGTTTATATATTTTATTATTCATCTCACACTACCAAACTCATGGAATCAAAAAGTGCTATTTTTATTTTTATTTTTTAATTTGATCACCAGAAATGAATAGCTTATAAATATGGTTTCTAAAAATATTCATTTAAAATCTCAATCTTTTCTATCAATTAATTAATTGATTATATAACTCACAGTACACATAAGGTAATTTATTATAATTCATAGCACACATAAGGTACAAACCTGTAGGGTTGTCAAAATTGGATCACGGATCGAATTCAGGTCAAATCAGAAACTAAACTGACACTAATTGACCCTACATGAACTCGACCCATTTTTGCAAATGGATCACATATTTCAACTAGGACCCGACTCGCACGGGTTATCGAGTTAACCCGACCCATCCCACAGACACGACAACGGCACGCAAAAGTAGCAGCTTGGCAACGCCGCAACAGCGACATGGTGGCGCTACAATGACGACAGACACGATGCAGGAGACTCACGTAACGACGACTTGACCGGTGTCACAAGAAAAAACGTGACTCTACACGACACACACTCGTCGCAGGTAGACGACAGGTAGCGCAGGCAGTGCGGTTAGCAAATGCGGGCAGACGCGGTTAGCTGGTTTAGTTGTGTCATTCTAAGTCATTCTGGGTCTTTTTTGAGTTTCCGAGTGAACCCGAACCCAACCTGATTTTTCAAATCGGTCGGTTTGTTAAACATGACCAGTTTCACAAACGAGTTAAACCCTAACCCAAAATAGTTGGGTCGAGTTTTCGGCTCGAGTCAAATATTAACACCCCTACAAAAATGTATTGAACAACCAATCATTGAGATTCCTAATGGTTCTAATAACAATTCTATAGATCAAATAGTTCAATAATTACCAAAAGATGGGTGCTACCACTAAAATTCAAGAACCATGCAGAGAAAATGGAACTTTGTTCCATTTTATAATTATATACATATAGTTTACTAAAGAAACTCAAGTAGATTTTGATATTTATCATATTCATGTGCACCATAATTTATTTTGAGGAAATATATCTATAGTGAGCCAAAACTAAACATAAGATTTGTTCATTAAATTTTGTTATCACATTAAGAATAATTTTAAGGAAATTAAACTCAGTTTAATACATAGAAGATAATACTTTCTCTTAGAGAACATATTGCCATGATTGCACTTAGAGAACATAATATTGCCATGATCCGTGTATTTATTTTTTAGAAGGATAATCAATAGGATTTAGTTGAATCATTAGGTTAAATGAATTTAACAAGTGAAAGAATATAATATTTCTTATTTAAATTTATCAACATCTTGGTTAATTTATTTTAGCATGATATAGCTCGCAATTAAATCAATTATAATTTTAAAATTAAAAAAAAAGTGCAAGAATATCCTGATAGAAATGATATAATAATGGATTTAAAAATTATTAAATTTGTTTTAAGATTAATATTGAACATGAAGAATTTATATTATATTAATTTTAAAAAAAAAATTAATAAATTATACAATAAATTTTTTTATTTTTCACTAAATTGTTGAAATAATAAAGATGAAAAATATTATGGGAAATTTTTTTTTGGCTCAACTGTTAGTGTAAATTTGAACCACACATATATTTTTTAGATTTATTACTAAAACGGGGTAATTAATTAATTTCGTAAATCTGTGGCATTCAGATTAAAAATCGGAAGTATAACGACGTGCGTGATCGTTTTCGCCTGACAATCTCAACTTACTTTTATAAATTGCCAAATTTATTCATTTATTTTTGTATAAATTTAGCCAATCCAAAATCTAAAAAATCTACGGGCTTCTAAATAAATTGAAATCGTGAAGAAGAGCAAAAACCCAGAAATTTGAAGAGAAGCGAGCAATTAGGAAAGCAGGAAGCAATGAGCAGCGGCCGATCCGTCGACAAAATCTCCGACGAACTCAAATCGCTTTCGCTCCGTGGCCCCGCCGGAGGGATTTTGCTGGATGAGGAGGATGAGGCAGTCCGATTTTCTAACGTGAGGAAGAAGGATTTCAAGCGTTGGGAGAGGGTGAAAGGACGAATGATGAACATCCTGGACGGTCTTGAACTCCACACCGGCGTATTCTCCGCCGCCGAGCAGCGGAGGATCGTGGATTGCGTCTATGATTTCCAGGAAAAGGGGCGTAAGGGGAAGCTTAGAGGTATTCTTATCGTGTTCTAAATTTTTTCTGCAATTTTCAGAATTCAGATAAAATTGCTTGATTCTAATTATATTTCTATTGATTTTGCTAATCTTTAGTCCATGGAGGAGCGGTTTTTTTTTTTTTTTTTTTGGGGCACAATTATGAATGTTAAAAAAATCATCAACTTTTTCATCAGGTTTTAAAAATCTTTTTTTTATTAATTAGACTTGTATAAGAAAAATATAAATTATATAATAAAAAAAGCATTGGTTTTACCTCTTTTATGTAAAATAGCCAAAAAAAGCATTTGCCCATTAATCCCCGCCTCCTAATCTTCTAACTTTCCCATACTACAAAATGAGGTTAAAGGTTAAAGTTCACCAAATTGATTTTCTTTATGATTTCATATGTAAGCTGCTTCTAAATATTGCTCCCTATGCCTTTTTGATAACTTGATCTTTGGAATTTATTTATATTTGTAGAGCGCACGTATTTAAAGCCCAGAAAGTGGATGCGAGGCAATGGACGTGTTACAATACAGTTTGGCTGTTGTTACAATTATGCGGTGGTATCACTCTATCTATTTCTTCCTTATCTTGTTGGTGTCTTAGGATTAATTTGGGACGGATTTCTTACTGCTTCTTAAATCAAATTTGTAGAACAATAACTAAATTTTAATACTAAAAAGTTACATTAAGAAGCAGCAAGAAAGTCGTCTCAAATGAAACCTTAATCTATTGATATACTAATTACCAATTCAAATTGCAGGATAGGAATGGGAATCCCCCTGGCATAATCCGCGACGAGGAAGTCGATCCTATCCCACCATTATTGAAAGAAATGATCAAGAGAATGGTTTCTTGGCATGTTCTCCCACCATCATGCATCCCCAACAGCTGTATTGTCAACATTTATGACAGGGATGACTGCATTCCTCCTCACATTGATCACCATGACTTTGTTCGGCCATTTTGCACGGTCTCTTTCTTGAGTGAATGCAACATCGTTTTTGGAAGAGAGTTGAAGATAAATGGACCGGGAGATTTTTCAGGCTCTGACTCTATTCCTTTGCCTTTAGGGTATTTACACCAACTTCTAAACTTGAATAACCTGCATCATATTCCAAGTATACATGAAGAATTAACACAAAATTTAACAAATATTAAATCAAGTTTTGCAACATAAATCTCAATTATTGTTATGACACACAGGTCTGTGCTTGTTTTGAATGGAAATAGTGCTGATGTTGCTAAGCATTGTGTTCCTGTTGTACCTACGCGAAGGTAAATATGCTTGGATTGAGCTCATAATTTGCATTTGTGATTGAGTTTATTTTTACTGACATCCATTTAATTTCTGAATAGGATTTCAATTACGTTTAGGAAGATGGATGACTCGAAGATCCCATATGATTTCATTCCTGACCCTGACCTGCAGAATCTTCGCCCTTTGTCATTACAAGGACAACAATATCCCAACATTCTTCCACTCCGGCAAGATCAGAATGATCAACCACTTAAAAATGCTCAGCCTTCAAAAAAAGTTCAACAAATTAAAAAAGCTCTGCAAGCGCAAAAAGTTCTACAATCGCTTGCTCTGTAGAGACCTATGCAACTATCTGAAGATGATTTTCCACCACTGAACTCCAACACAACAGTGCAGTCCCGTCGCAAATGACACTTTCCCTCCTATGTGATGGAATTCAACTGAAATCGGGGTTGTTTACAAAGTTGTTTTCTATTGTTCATGGCTATGCTGTGAGCTTTTTTTTGTTGTTTTACTAGGCAAAATTTATTACTTTATTTTATAGACCAAAGAGAGTAAATTGTATTGAAGAAGTTAGTTACCAACTATAATTATTTTTGTAATCATTTTACTAGGTGGTGTTGTTATAATAGTTGAGTTGTCAATATGAGATCTCGGGTTACGTTGATTATATTTATGTTTGGTTTGGGACAATCTTTTTATTATTTTATTTTTCAAATCACAATCATAATTTCTGTTTGGCCAATGCTTTATAGCTACTTCTAAAAATTTTTTGTTTTAAGAGGTTTTTTACAACAACTTCAAAAAATTAATTTCTCTATAATAATTTTATAAAGTCGTGCCAAATGAAACTTAGGATAGTTTTTCTACTATTCTTTATATTAGCTTTCTACTAAAAAAAATATTCATACATAACACAAAACTATATTATTTACTCATCTAACATCTAAACTTGTATATTTACACACATACAACTAAAAAGCTCTTTACCTTTCTAAAATACCACTATGTTTCCTCCTCTCCGTGAAAAGCGGCCCGATATCATGTTTGTGCGCGAACTTATCTTTCTTCTGCGTTAACGTTTGCTCATCTTCTCCATTTCGTCAAAGAACAAAACGCTTCTCTGTTCCCATCGAAACACTGCCCACCATTCCCATCGGAGCCTCCCATCTAGCCTCCTCTCCGTTCTTCCTCTAAAACATAACAAAATCGATTAGATAAAATGCCTCCCATTTGAGCCTCCCGTCCCAAAATATGGAAAAAAGTATTGGTCATAAAAATCACCAAAATCAGTTGTTACAGTTTCATAATTTGCAGTGGCAAGTTTCCTCTTTTCATTTCCTTCATTCTCCTTCAATCCAAACACATATATAAGACATTTTAAAAGGGAATAAAGAGAGAAAAAAAAAAGTATAGGCAACAACGGATGCGAGGCGGTCTAAAACATCCAAATTGCAAAAGGAAGAAAGATTTCCATAATGTCCACGGATAGCTCGAAAATATTCAACAAATAAGTTAGCAAGAAAAAGAATCCTTGCAAAAGAAAAAATTGCTCGGGGCAATTCTAATATCCAAAATCCGTATTTTTGGATTTCTTTTTGCTCCAGTTGTAATGTTTTAGCCTAAAATGGGAAGTCAAAAGGTCATGATTGACGATTACGGAAGAAAAAGCGGAAGAAATCCTTGAAAAGGAAATAAGAGCTCGAGTAATAAAAACTCAAAAGGCGAATATGGACGCCGCACGTAATAATTTTCCATGATAGAGAGGGAATAAAAAACCAAATTTAGCTTTCCTTGATAAGTAGAAAGCCCATTGTTCATTTGTTCTATAGGAAATTTGGAGTTAATATTTGCTGTCAGAAACTTCTTTCTAGCTTTGGACGAGCATGCCTGAATGACATAACTTAGACAAGCCATGGAAATAATTTTTTTTGCTAAAACCCATTTGACTCTATTTGGAAGGCTTTCACATGGGGAGATTAAGATTTTGTTTAGGATTATTTTCTTACTATTTTTTAAAATAATTTTTTAGCATAATTTTTTTTAAACTATACATTTATGTACTTAAAAAACTGATTTAAAAATAATAAGAAAGCCGTCTCAAACGAAACCAAGTAAATAAAGTCTCATGATTGCATAGCCTTTTGAGTTTTTATTATGCTTGTTAATCTGTAGTTTTAGTTGTTAATTATCTTTGATCACATTGGATAACTTATTAAATGTTTCATAATACTTAATATTTTGTCATCCCTATATATCTCTATATCACTATTAAATTCATATGATTAAACACGAATTTTGTCACAAATTTTAGATCTTAAAACACTCTAAAATTTGGACACAAAAGTTTTATAATTTTACTCCGAGATTATATAAATAATTAAAATTTGGACATTAATCCATTTAAGCTTCGTAAATAGTTAAATGTTTTGCCATTGATTATCACTAAATAAAGACAAATGAAGTCCATATTCATATGATTAAAAGGGTTGATTTAAGATATTATGTGTTGAATGAAAACATCTTTCAACACCACTAAGATATTATGTGTTGAATGAGAATAACTTAAAATTTATTTTTCTGCAGACATTTTATGATTTCAAGTTGTTATCTGCATGAGAAAATTATGTAATCTTTCAAATACTGTTCTATTGTTTATCTATCATGATTTATAATTGAGGGATGTGGTTATCTTGGCTTGTTGAACCATAAGCTGAGTTCTTCTTTTTTAGTTTAGGCATTTTAAGTATGAAACAATTACATTTTGATGTTTAATGCTGTAAATAATTAATTTGGTTACATTCATTAAATTAATTTTATTTTACTTTCTTGAAAGGATTTAACTTGGAGCTCTACTATGATTGGGGGTTATAAGCTTAGTTGTGTTTGAAACCATTTAGATGTTGGAATGCATGATTTTAGGCTTCGTTTGGACTGGTTTCTTAATGCTTTTTTTAATTTTTTTTTTTTACAAAAATTAAATTTTTTGTAATAATACACTTCTTTAAAAAGCCTTAAGAAATTCGTCCCAACCGAAGCCTTAGGTTTTGTTCGGGACGGCTTTCTTGATGTTTTTTAAAACGGTTTTCTAGTACCAAAAAATGATAATTTTGTACCAAAAACTTGTTTTAAGAAGCAACAAGAAAGTTGTCCCAAAGGAAGCCTTAGGCTTTGTTTGGGACAGCTTTTTTACTGCTTCTTGAAGCAGCTTTTAGTACAAAACATTTAGTTTTTGTACTAAAAAATTGATTTAAGAAGCAATAAGGAAGCCGTCCCAAACAAAGCCTTAGTCTTTTATAGTCCTTAGAGTTGCTTTTTGTCAAGTTGATTTCATAATCACACTCGGTGCATTACATTACAATATCTAATGTCACTTTTGTGCAAGAAAATAAATAAATAAACTATTTCTATTCCTGAAATCAAATCTTAATGCTTCATTGTATTTCCAGATTATTAGAAAATATGTTTGCATAAGTATATGGTCATGTTAACATGTTCAGTAAAAAGTATTCAATCTTTGTCATATCTACTCGCAAGCTTTCCTATACTGCAAAAAGAGGTCAAACTCTACAAAGCCCTTTTTTTTCATGATTGCATAAATTTTGAATGTAGTACATCATGCGAATGAAAATAATCAAATAAGAATTTAAGCTCATTTACAAGAATTAATAAAGAAGCTCAAGAAAAAATATTAAAGAAACTGTCCAATGACAAGAGCTCAATCAAGAACCTGATAAAGAGCATATAATTTTGAATATTTTAAAAAAGAAATTTTATTTATTTATTATCTAGAAATTTTTATAGATAGCCATGACATGATTTGATATGGATGAAGCATTAAAAATAGCTGGTTAGAACTCTCCCTCATTAATGCCATTATACTCTCTTTTTCCCTCTACTTTTTCTCAAAAAGTATTTGCATAAGAGTTTTGTAATGCTTATAATACTATATGTTTTCTTTTTTACTGACAATTGAAATATTTTTGCAAATAGTTTGCCTATCTTTGAAGACTTAGTTATCTTTATATTTTATTCAAGTAACTTGTTACTCCTCTTAAATACTTGCTTCAAAATCTTGAAATATATTCCTTCACATCATAATTATCATCCAATGCCAAATAACCAACAACCAAGTGTAATGTCAGCCCGTCCTAAAAAACTCAGGTAATTCTAGTTACTCGTGTTAAATACTTGTTGATATTTGATGTAATGTGTAATAATAAGTTTTAGAAGGTATTAGGTCTTAATTGAACCAAGGTTTTGATTAGAGAAGTGAAAAATTCAAAGTTTTGCATCATCTAAATATTATATGAGATATTTTATTTAATTACCATTATTACAATTGCATTCTGCATTACATGGTATCAGGTTATGTGTTGATGTGGGGAAAAAGCGAATCTCTGTTATGTTATAAGGACTATGAATGTAGGGGTGTCAATATTAAGCACAATCTAAAAAATCAACACAAAAATTCAATTCTGAGTTTAGGTCAACCCATTTGAGAAATGAGTAAGATTTGAGTTTTATATTCTTACCCGATTGTATTGTTGGGTCATGCTTAAGTTAACCAAAAAATTCAAAATTGACTCGGGTTAACCTAAAAATGTGCTCGTCCCATCATCACATGGCTCTGTCATCTGTGCTTGAGCATCGCACTCATGCATCTCACCTGCTCGCATTCGGGCTAACGGGTTGAGTTTGGGTCCAAACTTCTAACACATTTACCTAATTAGGTCATGTTCGGGTCAGGCAAGTTGAAACAAGGTTAATTTCGGGTTGAATCCAAACTTGTTTCGAAAATCCATTTTGACAACCCCCTACATGTAATCTTTTGGCGATTTGGACCCATCTGCTTGATGCAAACATGAAAAAGATTTTAGCCCCACTTACTGAAAACAAGTATGAGAAATTAAGTAAAACTATAAGTACTCATTTTGCTTCATTTGCTTGAGACACAATTAGGATAGAATCTAGCCACACTTGACATGTGTAAGTGTGACAGCTAAATGAAGATAGAAGTGAATGTGGAGTTATAAGTAGTCATCGGGATATGCCTATTCTTATCATTGCATTGCATTTTTATTAATGGATTAATTATAAATAATAATCTGAAATGAATGCGAGAAGGTCTAATACTCGGTACAAGTTCTAATCAAATCTAAAAGTCTAAGTGCAAGTGAGCTTTTGAGGCCACGTGTTTTGTTAAGCATCTTGGAAATATATGTACGAGTGGATTGTAAGTAAGTAAAAATGTTGAGTATGTTCTAGAAGTATAATATTGGTTTATTGTTTTCCTATTGCTTTCATATCTACTTATTGTATTTTTATAATATTATACCTTCAGCTTAAATTTGAATATTAATAAATAAAAACGGGACAGGATAAGAAATCTAATGAGCTAATTATGCTCATTCCATTCGTTTAATGTTTCAGGAAAAGGTAAACATCCGGCCGAGTAAATTAGTTGTAAAGTTAGTATTTTGAATCTTTATTCCTAAGGTATGATTTTGTAATCCAATATTTTAATTTTGATGTTTCAACTTCCATGATCTTGAGTATTATAATTATATTTTGATGAGATAAAGTTGATTATACCACTTTTATATTATGAAAAATTTTAGTAGCTATGGTTGTCTATAATTAGTTGATAATTTACTTAAATATAGATTTAAGTAAATCAAATCCTTCAATGAAATCCCAGAGCATTACATCAATATATAAAACTATTTTAAACAATCAAATATGGTTGTCTCAGTAATGTGATTTATCAAATAAGCACAAATTAGACTAATCTTGACATTTTAGTTAGTATACTTCAATTAAATCCCAGAGCATTACATCAATATATAAATTTATTATAAACTATAAAAACTTTCTTAAATATTAAAATAAAGATTCATCAATTTGGTTAATTTATCTTAGCACAATATAGCTTGAAATTAAACCAATTATAATTTTAAAATTAAAAAAAATATAAGAATATCCTGATATAAATTATATAGTAATGGACTTGAAAATTGTTAAATTTGCCTTAAAATTAGAATTGAATATTTATTTTTATTTTTCACTAAATTGTTGAAATAATAAAAATGAAAAATATTATGGGAAAATTTTTATGGCTGAAATGTTACTGTAAATTTGAGCCACACATATATTTTTTTTGGATTTATAACTCATAATTATAAGTTTAAATTTTTATTTTTAAAGTGTAAGATTATACTGATATAAATTATATAATAATAGACTAAAAAAATATTAAATTTGCTTTAAAATTAATATTGAATATGAGAAATTTATATTATATTAATTTTAAAAATTTTAATAAATTGTAAAATAAATTTGTCTAATATTTTTATTTTTCATTAAATTGTTGAAATAGTAAAAATGAAAAATATTATGGGAAAAGTTTTATGGCTGAAATGTTACTTTAAATTTGACCCACACATATATTTTTTAGATTTACCACTCATAATATTTAGAAAAGAGGTAATTTCCTAATTTCATAAATTTATGCCATTCCGATTAAAATTCGGACGTTAGACCACATGCATGACCGTTCTGTTCTCTCTCGCCGGACAATCTCAACTTATTTTAGAAATTGCCAAATTTATTCATTCATTTTTGTATAAATTTACCCAATCCAAAATCTAAAAAATCCACGGGCTTATAGATAAATTGAAATCGTGAAGAAGAGCAAAAACCTGAAAATTAGAAGAGAAGCGAGCAGTTAGGAAAGGAGCAAGCGATGAGCAGCGGCCGATCCGTCGACGACAAAATCTCCAAAGAACTCAAATCGCTTTCGCTCCGTGGCCCCGCCGGAGGCAGCGGCAGAGGCGGAGGGATTTTGCTGGATGAGGAGGATGTGGCAATCCGGTTTGCTAACGTGAGGAAGAAGGGCTTCAAGCTCTGGGAGAGGGTGAAAGGACGAATGATCAACATACTGGACGGTCTAGAACTCCACACCGGCGTATTCTCCGCTGCCGAGCAGCGGAGGATCGTCGATTGCGTCTATGATTTCCAGGAAAAGGGGCGTAAGGGGAAGCTTAGAGGTATTCTTATCATGTTCTAAGTTTTTTTTTCTATAGTTATTATATTCAGTGGCAGAGCGGTATTTTTTTTGTGGCTCAATTATGATTGCTAAAAATATCATCAATTTTTTTTTCATTCAGGTTTTAAAAATCTTTTTTTATTAGACTTGTTATAAGAAAAATATATATTATATAATAAAAAAAATGCATTGGTTTACGGTTTACCTCTTTTATGTAAAATGGCCAAAAAAAGCCTTTTCCCATTAATCCCAACCTCCTAATCTTCTAGCTTTTCCATACTACAATATGAGGTTAAAGTTCACCAATTTGCTTTTCTTTATGATTTCATCTGTAATTTGCTTCTAAATATTGATCTCTATTCCTATTTGATGAGTTGATCCTTAGAATTTACTTATATTTGCAGAGCGCACATATTTAGAGCCTAGAAAGTGGATGCGAGGTAAAGGACGTGTCACGATACAATTTGGTTGTTGTTACAATTATGCATTGGTATCACTCTATCTGTTTCTTCCTTATCTTGTTGGTCTCTTAGGCTTTGTTTGGGACAGCTTTCTTACCGCTTCTTAAAACTGTTTTCTAGGAAAAAAATTAAATTTGTTGTACTAGAAAATTGTTTTAAGAAGCAGCAAGAAAGTTGACCCAAACAAAACTTTAATCTGTTGATGCACTAATTACCATTTCAAATTGCAGGACAGGAATGGGAATCCCCCTGGCATAATCCGTGATGAGGTAGTCGATCCTATTCCACCATTATTGAAACAAATGATCAAGAGAATGGTTGCTTGGCATGTTCTCCCACCATCATGCATCCCCAACAGCTGCATTGTCAACATTTATGACAAGGATGTCTGCATTTCTCCTCACATTGATCACCATGATTTTGTTCGGCCATTTTGCACTGTCTCTTTCTTGAGTGAATGCAATATCGTTTTTGGAACGCAGTTCAAGACAAATGGACCGGGAGATTTCTCAGGCTCTGCCACCATTCCTTTACCTTTAGGGTATTTGCACCAACTTCTAAACTTGAATAAATAAAACAAATTTCAACAAGTATTAAATCAAGTTTTGCAACATAAATTTGAATTACTATTATGACATACAGGTCTGTACTTGTTTTGAATGGAAATGGTGCTGATGTTGCTAAGCATTGTGTTCCTGTTGTACCTACACGAAGGTGAATATGTTGGGATTGAGCTTATAGTTTGCATTTACAATTGAGTTTATTTTTGCTGACAACCATTTAATTTCTGAACAGGATTTCGATTACATTTAGGAAGATGGATGACTCAAAGATTCCATATGGTTTCATTCCTGATCCTGAACTACAAAATCTTCGCCCATTGTCACTACGAGGACAAAACCATCCCATCCAACAAGATCAACAAGATGAACCACCTAAAAATGCCCAGCATTCACAAAAAGTTCAACCAACTCAAAAAGCTCAGCAAGCACAAAAAATTATACAATCGATTGCTCTACAAAGACATATGCAACTAAGTGAAGATGATTTTCTACCGTTGAGCTCCAACACAACAGTACAGTTCCGTCGCAAGTGACACTTTTCCTCCTATGTGATGAGATTCAATTGAAGCTGGTGTTGTTTACAAAGCTGTTTTCCACAGTTCAAGGCTCTGTTGTGAGCTTATATATATATTACTAGGAAAAAGTTTATTACTCTATTTTATAGGTCAAAGAGAGTAAATTGTATTAAAGAAGTTAGTTACCAACTATAATTTTTTTTGTAATCCATTTGTAATCATTTTACTATGTGGTGTTGTTATAATACTTGAGTTGTCAATATGAGATCTCGGGTCGATTATATTTATGTTTGGTTTTGGATTACTTTTTTATTATTTTTTTTTTCAAATCTCAATCACAATTTATGTTGGCCGATGTTTTTTAGCTACTTCTAAAAAAATTATTCTAAGAGGTTTTTTGAAACAATTTCAAAAAGTTATTTTCTCTAAAGCAGTTTTAAACCAACAAGAAAACCATCCAGAATGAAGTCTTGGGATTACGGGTGTCAATTTCGGGTCACGGGTCGGGTTGGGGTCGAAATCGAAACTAACACGGCACTATTCATGTTGGGGGTCAACACGACCCGTTTTTGCAAATGGGTCAATTTTTCGGATATGATCCAGACCCACTTCGGGTTCGGGTCAACTAGACCCATTTTGCGGGTTCAATTTTCAGACTTGAACCCAAACCCATTTCTGGTTCGGGTCAACCCGACCCGACCCGCTTCGGTGCAGGCAACGCTTCTTTTGGCGATTAGATGACTTCGATCCTTTGGCATTTTCGGCAAGGCCACACGCGATTCAGCCCTCCGGCTGTCCAGTAGTGGGAGATGGCAGCGGCCGCCGCGGGGCAGCGACAAACAGTGCAGGCAACACACGGTCGCGTGGCACTAGGGATGGCTGCGACAATGATATATAATTGGAACCAAAGAGAGAGGGAACAAAAAGCCAAATTTAGCTTTCCTTCAGAAACAAGAAGCCCATTATTCATTTGTTCTATATAAATTTTGGAGTAAATAATTGCTGTCAGAAACTTCTTCCCAGCTTTGGACGAGCATGCTTGAAACCTAAACTTGGACAAGCCAGGGAAATACATTTTTTTTTGCTAAACCACTTTTGACTCTATTTCGAAGGCTTTTCACATGGGTGAGATTAAAGTTTCATTTGGATAATTTTCTTACTGTTTTTTAAAGTAATTTTTAATATAAAATTTTTTTTAAACTATATATTTATGTACTAAAAAGTTGATTTAGAAAATAGTAAGAAAGCCATCTCAAACAAAACCCAAGTAAATAAAGTCTAGCGATTGCGCATAGCCTTATGCTGTTTTTATTATGCTTGTTAATATTTAGTTTTAGCTGTTAATTATCTTTGATCACTTTAGATAACTTACTAATGTTTCATATTACTAAATATTTTTTATCCCGATATATCACTTTGAAATTCATATGATTAAGAACAGATTTTGTCAAATTTTAGATCTTAAAACACTCTAAAATTTTAGATCTTAAAACAGTATATAAAATTCATTTGACTATGAGATTATATGAACAATATAATACTGTGGAAGAACCTTTTTCAATTGTGGTATTATTATTAGGTTCACCCCCAAACTAAACAAATATATAATAGTTGTTAAGTGGTCAATTTAAAATCTATTTTGCATGTGTCCATAAAAAAATATTTTCTACAATCATATTGGTATAATAATCTCTATCATAGTATTGAATTTGAATAACTTTTAGGACTTTTACATACATAACACTTTAAACTATTGAAAATATATAACTAACACCTACATTAATATTTACTTATCTACCACTCCGTTACACATACTGTCACAATCCCGTCACTCTCAGTGGCCACCTTCACCTCCAGTGCCCTCCGCGGCGCCATCCAGCTCAACAGCGGCCAAACTTGGACCAACACGCCCAGCCATGACCACCGGCGGCTGAGTGTGGGTCTGCACCGGCTGCTCCTTTAACGCCTCCAGAAACGAACAATTTTGACACTAGTGACTGCAGCGACAAAGTCTCCTGCACCGCCTACGACTCGCCGCCGAACACCTTGGCCGAATTCTCCCTCAACCAGTTCTCCAATCTCTACATCATCTTTGGACGTGTCTACGTCGCCGAGTTCAAAGGCGTCAAATTCTGCGTCAAATCATTCTCCGGCGGGATTCACTACAGGAAAAATCACCCAAAACTGGCGATTTTTCCGGCGGTTTGGGATGAAAATCGGTGGTTGGTATATACCGTCGGCTTTGCGGCGGGTGATGAACCGCCGGAAAAAATTGGCGTAGGAACTATTACCGGTGGATCCATTAGCCGACGGTGTTCCGACGGCCTAGACCGCCGGATATTCTACTGTTTTGTGCCGGCGATGTTCCGGCCGATTTACCGCCCGGTCAAAATACCGACGACATACCGGCGAGTCCTTCAACGACGGCTTACCGGAGGTTTCAGCGGCCGACGTGAGGAACTTAACTGCCGGGTGCGTCGGTAATACACCGGCGGTTAATACCGCAGGTAATCGGCATTTTTCCTTCGAAATATTCGTTCGGATGGGAAAATGCATTGAGGGATAGTACCAACAGTAAGCACAATCACATAGCCTTCTCCCTCCTAGCCTGCATCTCCAAGGCCTGCTCCATCCTCGATGTCCCGTCGCTAATCTCAATTTCCTCTTGGTTTTCGATTCCCCACTAGCCTTCTCCCTCTTAGCTATGAAGCAGACTAACTGGCAACAATGGTGGGTTGCTAGATGGGATTTGGAGCCCCGAAATTTGTTGGGAGCAATAGTGCCAAGCTACACTACAAGCTAAAATCTCAGCCCAAACAGGTCCACTCGCAGTAATTAACACGCCTACGTGAGTCTGGCTCCTCGCAAGCGCCAACCACTCCCTGGTAAGAATATCCGGATATAAATCATATAATGATAGACTTGAAATTAATGAATTTGCTTTAAGATTAATATTAAATATGATAATTTTATATTAATTTAATTTTAAAATAAGTTTTTTCTGTTATTTTATTTATTTTTCACTATATTGTAGAAATATAAAATAAAAAATATTTGGGCAAAATTTATGGCCTAAACTATTACTGAAAATTTTGAGTATATATATATATTAGGGGTGTCAATTTCGGGTCACGGTCGGGGTCAGGTTCGAAACCCGAAATCGACCCGACACTATTTCGTGTTCAACACGAACCCGACCCGTTTTTTGCAAACGGGGTCAACTTTTGGGACTCGACCCAACCCGCTTCGGGTTCGGTTCAACCGACCAGACACGGATTTGTGCGATTTGGCTGAAGAAGCGCGCGAAGATAGCTGGCAAATGGGTTTGGGGACATGCGCGACTGCTTGATGCAGTGACTCCGTTTGCGGGCGTGCGAGGGCAACAGTCACTGGAAGCCACTGCACGAATGTTTCAACTAGTTACATGCTTGTGAAATCCTTGCGCGAATCCTTGTGTCTCCGTTTGCGGGCGTGCAACGTGCGAGGTGCGGGAAACATTCCGGGCGCGTTGAGCCTTGAGCCAGCTTGACTCTAAATGGCGAACGCGGATGCACACGCGAACACGACATCCGCGACACTACGGACGCGACACATGAGGACGACGTGATGGATGGGATGTGAAATGACGCGAGCCCGGCAAACTGGGTTGATTCCGGGTTTCCGGGTCAACCCGAACCCGACCTGATTTTACAAACGGGATGAAACTCTAACCCGAACCCGATCCGGTTCGGTTTCGGGTTGACCCGAACTCAAAATTTTCATGTCGGGTTCAATCGGATTTTCGTGTCGTGTCTAATATTGACACTCCTAATATATATAGAGAGATTTATCTCTTATAATCTTAAAAAGAATGGGTTAATTTGTAATTTCATAAAATTTTTCCAGGCAGATTAAAACTCGGACGTATAACCACGTGCGTCACCGTCCGTTTTTGCCGGACAATCTCAACTTATTTTTAGAAATTGCCAAATTTATTTATTCTTTTTTTTTAATTGACCAACTCAAAAATCTAAAAAAATTATTCTCAACATCTTTACTCGTTTATGCCGCTGGCTGCTTCCACGGGCTTATAAATATATTGTAATTGTAAAGAAGAGCAAAAACCCGGAAAATACAAGAGAAGCGAGCAGCCAGGAAAGGGGAAGCGATGGCCGCCGGCCGATCTGTGCACAAAATCTCCGAAGAACTCAAATCGCTTACACTCCGTGGCCCCGCTGGAGGGATTTTGCTGGATGAGGACGATGAGGCAGTCCGGTTTGCTAACGTGAGGAAGAATGACTTCAAGCACTGGGAGAGGGTGAGGGGACGACTGATCAACATCCTGGACGGTCTAGAACTCCATACCAGCGTATTCTCCTCCGCCGAGCAGCGGAGGATCGTCGATTGCGTCTATGATTTCCAGGAAAAGGGGCGTAAGGGCCGGCTTAGAGGTATATTTATCGTGTTCTTGGTTTTTTTTCTGAAATTTTCAGAATTTAGATAAAATTGATTGATTTTAGTTATAGGTCGATTTTGCTATTATTTAGTCCATCGGGATAGAATACATATATATTCAGCGGCGGAGCGGTATTTTTTGTGGCTCAATTATGAATGCTAAAAATATTATCAAACTTTTTTCATCCATGATTTGAGACCGATATCAAAGGTTTTAAAAAAAAAAATTTATTAGACTTTTTATAAGAAAAATATAAATTATATAATAAAAAAAGCATCGATCGGTTTATCTCTTTTATAAAATGGCCAAAAAAAGCATTTGCCCATTAATCTCCGCCTCCTAATATTCTAGCTTTCCCATACTACAAAATGAGGTTAAAGTTCACCAAATTGATTTTCTTTATGATTTCATATGTAAGCTGCTTCTAAATATTGCTCCCTATGCCTTTTTGATAACTTGATATTTGGAATTTATTTATATTGGTAGAGCGCACGTATTTAAAGCCTAAAAAGTGGATGCGAGGCAAAGGACGTGTCACAATACAGTTTGGTTGTTGTTACAATAATGCAGTGGTATCACTCTATCTATTTCTTCCTTATCTTGTTAGTCTCTTAGGATTCATTTGGGATGACTTTCTTACTGCTTTTTAGTTAATACTAAAAAGCTGTTTTATGAAAAAGCAAGAAAGACATTCCAAACGTAACCTTAATCTATTGATGCACTAATTACCATTTCAAATTGCAGGACGGGAATGAGAATCCCCCTGGCATAATCCGCGATGAGGAAGTCGATCCTATCCCACCATTATTGAAACAAATGATCAAGAGAATGGTTGCTTGGCATGTTCTCTCACCATTCTGCATCCCCAACAGCTGTATTGTCAACATTTATGATAGGGATGACTGCATTCCTCCTCACATTGATCACCATGACTTTGTTCGGCCATTTTGCACGGTCTCTTTCTTGAGTGAATGCAACATCATTTTTGGAACGGAGTTGAAGATAAATGGACCAGGAGATTTCTCAGGCTCTGCCTCCATTCCTTTGCCTTTAGGGTATTTACACCAACTTTAAACTTGAATAACTTGCATCATATTCCAAGTATTCATGAAGAAATAACATAAATTTCAACAAGTATTAAAACAGGTTTTGCAACAGTAATCTGAATTACTATTATGACATACAGGTCTGTTCTTGTTTTGAATGGAAATAGTGTTTTGTTGCTAAGCATTGTGTTCCTGTTGTACTATGCGAAGGTGAATATACTTGGATTGAGCTCATAGTTTGCATTTGCGATTGAGTTTTTTTTTTTTTTTTTTTTTTTTTTTTTTTTTTGACAATCATTTAATTTCTGAGCAGGATTTCAATTACGTTTAGGAAGATGGATGACTCGAAGATCCCATATGATTTCATTCAAGATCATGATCTGCAAAATCTTTGTCCATTGTCATTACGAGGACAACAACATCCCAACATTCTTCCACTCCGGCAAGATAAGCAAGATGAATCACCTAAAAATGCTCAACCTTCACCAAAAGTTCAACAAGCTCAAAAAGCTCAGCAAGCACAAAATGTTTTACAATCGCTAGCTTTACAGAGACCTATGCAACTAAGTGAAGATGATTTTCCACCGCTGAGCTCCAACACAATAGTGCTGTCCCGTCGCAAGTGACACTTTTCCTCTTATGTGATGGGATTCAACTGAAACTGAGGTTGTTTACAAAGCTGTTTTCCACTGTTCATGGCTCTACTGTGAGCTTTTTTTTTTTTTTTTTATGTTTTACTAGGTAAAAGTTTATTACTCTATTTTATAGGTCAAAGAGAGTAAATTGTATTGAAGAAGTTAGTTACCAACTATAATTCTTTTTGTAATCCTTTTGTAATCATTTTACTAGGTGGTGTTGTTATAATAGTTTTGTAAATATGAGATCTCAGGTCGATTATATTTATATTTGGTTTGGGACAATCTTTTTACTATTTTATTTTTTCAAATCACAATCACAGTTTATGTTTGACCAATGCTTTTTAGCTATTTCAAAAAAAATTTGTTCTAAGAGATTTTTAACAACAATTTTAAAAAGTTACATTCTCCATAGCATTTTTATAAAACATTAAGAAAACCTTTCCAAGTGAAACTTTGGGATAGTTTTCTTACTGTTTTCTACGTCAGCTTTCAATTAAAAAAAAATATTTAAAGCACCAAACAAATAGTTGTCAAATGCGATTCCCAAATGAAACCTTATTCTATTGTTTTGAGGTCAGTAGATTTTGGACTACAATGATATATATTGGAAACAAAAGAGAAGAGATTATTGCGTGCGGCGTCCGGAGGCAAATTCGGATGCGTCACGTCTCCCGGGGCCAAGCGTCTCACTCCGATGCACCGGGTCCCGGGTGATGTGGCATGTCCGAATTCGCCTTTGTACAAATTTGAATGCCACACGTAATAATTTTTCACCCACAAAAGGAAATAAAAATCCAAATTTAGCTTTGCTTGAGAACTAGGAAGCCCATTGTTCATTTGTTCTATAGGAATTTTGGAGTTAATAATTGCTATCAGTCATCAGAAACTTCTTTCCAGCTCTGGACGAGCATGCCTGAATGACATAAGTTGGACAAGCCAGGAAAGAAATTTTCTTCTAAAACCCATCTGACTATTAGAAAGGCTTTCAAATTGGGAGATTAAGGTTTTGTTTGTGACATTTTTGTTACTGATTTTTAAAATAATTTTTTAGTATTAATTTTTTTTGAAATATAATTTTATGTATAAAAAAATTTATTTTAAAAAATAATAAAAAAGCCGTATCAAATGTAACCTAAGTAAATAAAGTCTCATAATTGCATAGCTTATGAGTTTTTATTATGCTTGCTAATCTTTAGTTTTACTTGTTAATTATCTTTGATCACTTTAAATAACTAACTAAATGTTTCAAAATACTAAATATTTTTTCATCCCGATATATCACTATAAAATTCATTTTTTTTTCACTGGAAAATTCATATGATTAAGCACGGATTTCATCAAATTTTAGATTTTAAAACACTCTAAAATTTGGACAAAAAATTTTTATAATTTAACTCTAAGATTATTGCCCCCCGCCCCCTTAATTTAATTTTTGTCCCCAGCCGACATTTTTTCTTGCAATTTTCCCCTCAAAAAATTGGAAAGCCACTTGACCTCCAGCTATTTCATCCGATTATGTTGAACTTTTCTAACACTAGCAAAAAAGTCTATGAAAAACAATTATGTGTAAAATAAATTATTTTTAAACCCTTATATATATTTTTTATTTTCTTACAATTTTGTCATGTACCCCTCCAAGAATAAGGCTAATTCTGCCCCTAATGCCCATCATCAAATATACAATGTAAATACTTAGAAACATCATAAAACAAAAAATATATATATATATTCCACGAATCTAAAATAAATAGTTGTTGAGTGATCAATTTAAAATGTGTTCGGCATTATCATAAAAAAATTATTTTTCTACAATCATATTGGTTAATAATATCTATCCTAGTATTGAATGAGAATAACTTTTAGGATTTACATGACAATTTAATATTTGTTTTTCTGCAGACATTTATGATTTCGAGATTTTGGTTTGGAAGATTCTGTGTCATCTATGTTGAAACTAATCAATTTTATCTATGTAATCCTTCAAATACTGTTCTATTATTTATCTATCATGATTTATAATTGAGGGATGCGGCTATCTTGGCTTGTTGATGCGAGCTTTCCTGTACTCAAGAACAGAGAAAACAAAGGTGAAGAAAACCAAAACCCAGAGAGGAAAATGTGCATCTTCGCTATCTTCTTCTGTGTAAAACAGTACACTATTATATAGATGGAAAGCATATTAGAAAAGGTGAGAAAGAGGTAATGCATTGCTGCAGGCATTTCATTTTCCAGGCGCTAGTGGCGTACGGAGTGCAGTCATGTGTTCTGCTCACCCTCAGAACACTTTAATAGGCCCCCACAAGCTGATGGTATCGGAGAAACCATAAACTTATCACGAAGTAGATTATACCTAAGACGAGGCAACGTCTTGGTAAATATATCTGCAACTTGATCCTGGGAGTTGATATGTTGAACTATAATGGAATTAGACTTGATACAATCCGGAATGAAGTGGTAATCAGCCTCTATATGTGTCGTCCGGGCATGAAAAACCGGATTATGAGCAAGGGCAATGGTTGCACATTGTCACAATGTAGAGATGTAGGAGTGGAAGTGGAAAACTGAAATTCAGCAAGTAACCGCCGGGTCCAAACTATGTCTGTTGCTATAGTGGCCAATGCTCGATATTGATCAGCTTCCGTAGAGGAGCGAGCAACAACTGGTTGCTTTTTAACATACCAAAGGAGCGAGCAACAATTGGTTGCTTTTTAACATACCAAGAAAGGAGAGTATCTCCCAAAAATAAACAATAACCAGTGGTTGATTTTCTATCAATTGGATCGCTAGCCCAATCAGAGTCAGCATAGGCACATAAGGAAGAGTAGGTATTGTTGATAGGAAGACCAAAGTTGACCGTGCCTCGTAGATATCTCAGAAGATGTTTTAGAGCTTGAAAGTGGTGCCGAAGTGGAGTATGCATAGATTGACATAGTTTGTTAACAACATAAGAAATATCTGACCTAGTTAAGGTTAAATATTGTAAGGCACCCACAGTATGACGATAAAATTCGGGATTGTCAAATAATAAAAGAGATGTGTTGTCCACCACTGGTTTCAAAGAAAGTAGAGCGACGACTAGTTTGCCCGTTGAAGAATATCTGAAACATAGGAAGCCTGATTGAGATGAAAACCTGTAGGAGTCGGTATAGCTTGAATACCGAGAAAGTTGTTCATATTCCTAGTTGCGAAGTTGAAAATTGTGTTGAAGATTACTGAGCAAAGTTTTAATAGCAGTTGGACTACTTCATGTTAACAAAATGTCATCCGCATATACTAGCAAATATATATGATGGCACAGACTAGTATAAATAAGTAAAGAATCGGCATCACTATGACGAAAACCCAAAGACTGCAAATGTGTTGGTAAACTTTGCAAGCCACATACGAGGGGATTTTTTAAGGCCATAAATGGCCTTATGAAGCCGACACACAAATCGGGATGTTGAGGATCTTTAAAGCCAAGTGGCTGCTGCATATAGAAAGACTCATGTAAATCTCCATGTAAAAATGCATTGGAGACATCCAATTGAGTGATAGGCCAGTGACGATGAACAGTTGCAACGATGAAGAGACGAATTGTAGAAACTTTAGCCACAGGACTAAATGTTTCCGTATAGTCAATGCCATATTCATGACAAAAATCATGAGCAACAATGTGAGCTTTGTGTCTAGCAATAGAGCCGTCGGAGTGTCGTTTAGTTTTATAGATTCATTTGCAGCCTAAAACAACTTGATTTGGCGGTGATTCAACTAGATCCCAAGTGCCATGAGCTTGAAGAGTTTGAAATTCAGTAGACATGGCATCTCACCAGCATTGGTGTTTAACGGCCGCCGAATAACAGGTTGGATCAGGAAATTCAGTAAGTTTATGCTGAAGATTAAATTGTTGCTTGGGTTTTAGACTGCCGGTTTTGAGACGAGTCACCATGGGATGTCTCGGTTGAGGTAAAACAGAGGGCAATGTATCAGGTAGAGTAGAGTTAGCTTGTTGAATTGGTAGTATATGGGAAGAATGTTGTGGTGCAGAAATATCAGTAAGTTGAGGTACTGGCAAATCGGGTGAGGTGGAAGGAGAATGCGTGGGTTCACTAGGGAGAGAGTTAGGTGTTGCTGAAGAATTATCAAGAAGAGTATATGGAACAAGACTAAGCGGTGCTGTTATGGAAGTGGGAATAATAGTTGAGGAAGCAGAACTAGTGGAACCAGAAGACTCAAAGGGAGAATTATGTTCATGAAACTGGACATGATGGGAAATGATGATTTTCTGATTGGAAATTTGATAACAACGGTATCCTTTGTGACTAGAGCTGTACCCGAGAAATGCACAGGCTAAAGACTTTGGAGAAAATTTATGAGGAGCTGAATGTTGAAGTCAGGGAAAACACAAACACCCAAATATTTTGAGATGAGAATATATAGGGGGGTTTATGATATAGCTGCTGTTATGGAGATAAATAATTTGTGGTAATAGAAGGAAGACGATTAATGAGATAAGTAGTTGTTTGAACAGCTTCAATCCAGAATTGAGTTGGAAGATGGGCCTGAATTAGGAGGGTGCGAGCCGTTTCAATTATACGATGATGCTTGCGTTCAGCAAGACCATTATGTTGAGGTGTGTATTGACAACTGAACTGATGAACAATGCCTTACGTAGAAAGAAAATTATGAAATGGTATACTTGAATATTCGCCTCCAGCATCCGAACAAAAATTTTAATGTGTGTTGAGAATTGTTTTTCAATCATCGTATTGAACAATATAAATTTGGAAAAGGTTTTTGACTTAGTAACCATAGGAGAAATCCAAGAAAATCGTGAAAAGACATCCATAAACAAAAAATAATAGCGGTATCCATTTAAAGATAAAACTGGGAAAGGACTCCATACATCAGACACACAAGATGAAATGGAGAATTACATATAGACTTAAATCGAGCAAAGGGTAACCTACGACTTTTAGCTAGTTGACAGAGATAACATACGACCTGTGAACTAGTAATATTTAAAGACGGATTTAACTTGCAAATAGTAGAAAACACAGCACTGTGAGGGTGACCCAACCGAGCATGCCAAAGATGAGAAGAATCATAAGTAGTGACGAGAGCCTTTTAAGTGGAGGCGAAAGATGAGGACATGGATGACATGGAAACAAAGTAGAGACCTTTACGCCAGGGACCCGAAAGGATCGAACGATTTGTTCTCTGATCCTTTATATGATAACCAGATGGAGACAATGAAATAACACAACCATTATCAGAAGTTAGACGATGTACA